CTTTTTTTTTTTTTTTTTTTTGGTCTATAAAGTGCATATTTTCACTGGGTTTGCTGGTTCTTTTGTGCTTTATCCTCTAAATGCTTTACTGTTTTCCCCAAAGGTTATAGATACACATAGAAAAGCAATAGATTTTCAAGAGATGCCCAGGAAATAAAGTTTCTGCTCGAAGCTTTATATGATTCTATGAATGTCAGTAGCCCAATCAGTTGAAATTGCTATAGTTCATTGAAACACACCTGCGTACCTAAGAGGTTATATGATTTTAGAGATTGATTTTTATTCTTTTGTCCTTTTTCTGTCCCTGAACTTGACTCTTTCTTTTTGTTTTATTTTTATATGTAGACAGGCAGACAGTTGAATTTAATAGAACTAATGTAAGATGTTCTCTGTGCCAGTAATATTCACATTAATCCAGCCAGGGAATTGGTTTTGTGCATAGGATATGAAATACATCTCCCTTTCAGTCCCTGTGAGACTATTTTACAAAGATCCTCACAAGTTTGCCATTAAGGACAGAAAATACCCACTCAAAGCAGAATATTCTGGAGTAACAACTGCCTGCCGTTAAGCTTTCTTTTCTGTAGAGAGACATCTCGTGATCTAAACAATAGATGAGTAGACCAGTTCAAACTTTTACATGGCAGAAAGACACAGAAAGGTGTTACAAAGTCAAAAAAAAAAAAATTGCCAATATTTATTAAACAAAGTAACTTGATCTTTCACAGCTTTTTTAGTTTTACCTTCATTTGAGGGAGGGTTTAATGAAATTTTCCCAGCATCAGCTATTACCTTTCAAGAAAGCAAGCTGCAAGATTTAAGATGCCTGTCTTTTTTTCATTTTTGTATTTGTAATTTTCTATTTCAAAGTAACATTTTAACTCTTGGAACACTTTCTATCTGAGGAGGAGTTATTTTCCATTGAAATGTATTACATCTTTTAATCAGATAAACTCTCCTTTTATGTACTAATAATTTCTTTATTGACTGCTGTGTTATGGATTAGAAGATTTAAGTGTCAAGGTATTATAGTAGACACCATTTTCTGTCCTGAAAGAGAAGAGTAGATTTATTACAGAAATGTACTATGTGATAGGTACTGCTGCTTGGTTTTTATGTGCATAATCTGTCATTTTGGAAAAGAGATGTAAACAAACAAAGTTGTGAAATACAGGGCACAGGATCAATTACTATGATTGATCCCTTTATCTAGCCACAAATATGAATGCATCAAAGTGCTGCAGATGCAAGTTGTAACAATGACATTTTCAGAGATTTTAAAATTACAGTCATCGGTATCAGTTTAAAATAAGTTATTCTTGTATTTTTGGACATCAAATGGTTTTCTACATGTAGTGATCAAATTTTCCCCAATACTCTTCATATTTTTTTTTTTAAATCTTCCATGGTTCATTGAAAAACAACTATTTTCAAATTTGATATTATGTATATAGTATTTCATGATCATACAATCTGTTCCAAAGAACTTGAATTCAGCTGAAGAATTCTCCATAGCCAATGCAATTGTGATTATACCTATTGGATTTTTTATTTTTGAGTTCTGTGAAGATAAAGTAACTCCTGTATTTATTTTCATCCTCCTTTTTCCCAGGATTTTGTAAAAAATCTTCATAATTCATGTTTAGACGTCTGTTCTGAACTTAGATCAGTTCAGCCTTTTTTTGCTGGTTGCATTTTATTTTCACAGCTGTACTTCTATTAAACTTTGTCATCCTGCTTGCCGTGCAGACCAGTTTAAACCTTGTAATAACAAGTCAGACAACTAGACTTACATGCAGAATATATATAAATAAAATAGTTTTTAAAATACCATGTTTCCCTTAGAAAACTAGACAACTTCTGTTTTCTTTAATTCTTTAGAATCAGCTACAGTTCAGGCTGACATTTTATTTGCAGTAGGAAACAGGATTCACTGACATGCAATTTTGATAGAAGTCTGTTTCCAGAATATAGATTGTATGAAGAAGTAAACTTTAAGTTGCTTATATATTTATGGCAGCAGTTGACACTATCAGTGTGTTTTGCTTGTTGGCTTGTTAGGTGTTCCCGAGAAGCCACAAATTACTGGATTTACCTCACCAGTTATGGAGGGAGAGAGGATGCAGCTGACTTGCAAGACGTCCGGTAGTAAACCAGCAGCTGATATCAGATGGTTCAAGAATGATAAAGAAGTTAAAGGTATTTAAAAGGACTTTGGTGTAATTTGGTCTAATTGTCAAAACTATACATTGTTTAGAATTACATTTTTTAATTCATGTTTGTAAAGTTTCTCATATTTAATTGTTAAATGAATCCGTGATAGTATGTAGATAAGGAATTGATTGTAAATTACTGGAGTGGTCATGTAACCATCCATTTAGTTTTTCTTCAAATGGTGAAAACTGATGTTTTGAATTGCTCTGAACTCTGATCAGCATAATAAACTCAACTGTGATGCTTCACAGAGAAAACATTTTATGGATTGTTGTTATCACAGCCATACCACTCACCCCAGATACTTTACGTTTTCATTTCTTTTTGCCTTTCTAATATGACGTATGACTGATTTGGTTGATTGCCAGTTTTATTTTACACTCCTCAAAGTAAAGTGACCAGATGAGGCAGAAACATCAGGAGGAGACAGGAGATTACACTTCCTGCAGGGGAGCTACAGAGGCTGCTCTGGTGAGGAAGAGTCAGGATGTAGCAATTGAGGGAATCTCAGTTGGGAAACTGGGAACCTGCAGCTGAGGCAAAGATGCTGAGAGTGTGTGGGGAGGAGTAGAGAGAAGATAGGCTTCAAAGGAGAAGAGGAGAACTTCACAGGGACTGGGGCAGTTGGACAAAGTCTGCTGTAACTGGAAAGTCATCAGGTGGCTAAAACCGAAGATGAAAGCAAGGATTTGCCCTTGAGGATGAAGTGAGATAGGAAACAGTTGCATATAAAAGCTATTTATTTATTTTCTGTTTTCTCTTTCACTTTGTATGTTCTTTATCTAGAACTTAGTTTTCTAGTCCATATTCTCATAAACACAGAGATAATTTAAAATTCTTTTTGGTATTTGGGTGGAGAGAGCTTCCTGTAACAGAAGGTTTAGTCATATCTACCACAGCCAACTGAGGTGCCCATTTATAGATGAGACGAGTAAAAAGGATAAGATATTGGTATTTATTCATGTCACCTCTATTCATTCTGCTGCAAGACCAGATCAAGAAATGATTCAAAATCCACCTTTTTCGTGTAGCTTTTTTTTTGAAAAAACAACTATTTTCTGCTTTGTCTTATATTTGTCTGACATTGCGGATTTTGTTATCTCAATATACTGCCTCAGGCAAAGTTACAGCATTAATTACAGAATCCATTAATCTTTCTTTGCTATTCTCTACCACAGTTCAATGTACACAACCAGAGCTGTGATATGAGATTGGTAAATAAAGGAGACTGCGGTTGATTGTCCAAGGAGCCAGGTCCATTCTAGAAGCGTCTTTAGATTTCCAATGAAAATCCGAATAGTGTTGAAAGAGACAAGAGTTTTAGGCTGGAATCATTTGAAACCTGTTTGAACACTTGTAACAAGAATAGAAAATGAAGAAACAGAGACCATTCTTTCGAGCCACTGGGAAATTTGAGGAAATTGCTGAAAGAAAAACAGTACCTCATCACATGTGATTAAAAAGAATTTACCAGCACAGCTAATACATATGGCACACCATAGATTCTGTCATCAAGAAAACATGACAGGATTAATATATGTATTCAAGACATGTAAAGACGGAAAATCACTATAAGCAATGTCAATATTTGAAGAGAACCACTGATACAGTTGGCCTAATGGCAAAGCAACACATCTGAAAAGATGTTATTTGAAAAATTATTTTTTAAAATCTGGTGTGTTAACTTTACCTTTCTTTCAGCTAACATGTAGTTGAAACCAAGCGAACAATTTGCTGGTTTGACTCTTTAACTAATTTGCTTTTCTCGGTAGTTCTTAGATGGATGTTTTTTAAAAAAGGGAGCAGGGAAGGAACAAAGAAGATACATGAAAAAGAACAGTAAAGAAAAAAAAAAAACAAAAACAACCCAAAAACCACAACAGAAATTAGAGGAAAGTACTGAGCACATTCATTTCAGCTTAGTTTTCTAGGTCTTCTGAAGAGCACATTGCCATTTCACAAAGGTTAGAAATAAAATAACCTAACCAGTTTGCAGTGGCATCAGCAGAAGTTACATTAGCTTTGTGCACTATAAAAGGTGAAATGATAAATCTGAGAAAATAGATATGAAATTATATGCTAATGCGTCTGACATTAAAGGTTAGGAGTTCGTCTGTCTAGTACCAGTAAATCCAATTGTGTTACAGTGTATTATACATGGTGCAAAAGAATATAAATGATGCATTGAGTTCAGAGTTGCACCAAAGGGGAAAAAGCCGTTCTAAAATTGTAGCTCCATTGCTATTACTCAAAAAAGGAATCATCATCTGCTAAAGGAATACTGTTTGATAGAGTAAGTGTTAGTAATGAGAGAGACTCAATGTGAAGCACCGAGTGCCATACCTTTTACTTTAGTATTCTGTCTCTCACATGTGCACCAAATTAGCAAAGTGATCTGCAGTTTAGCATTCTGGTGACATTTCTGGAAGATTATTAAATGCAAAAATATCAGAGAAGCTAAATAGTAAAAAGCTATGTGTTTTTTTAACAAAATTTGTTACATGCTATTTTGACAATATTGTGTAAAAAAAAATATTCTTAGTTTCAGGAATATTTTTTAGCGTACAGTAACATACCCAGTACATGATGTCCATTGGTTTTACATCCAGGTGGGCTTATATTCAGTTAGCATATGTCACAATCACACCTTAATTTTGCTATGAAGAAAAACCTAAGAAGATACAGCTGTTAAAATGGACAAGCTAAGTATTTCTCTTGATGAGGATGTCAAGAGCTTATAGAATAATATCACCATTCATTTTACAAAGGTAATTAACTCTAACTGAGTTGAACTCTTCCATGTAATAGATGTCTAGAGAAAGGCTTCTAAACATCAGTTTAGGAAATTAACTGCTTTTGTTTTGCTAAAGGATTAAACATCCACAACCTCTCACTGAAATTAAAGTTGATGTTTTCAAGATCTCTCTGTCCTCCACCTGAAGTCAGTAAGCAAAGGGATGTGTACATTACTTATAAGCAAAAGGCTATCTATATAGGTGCTTATTATTAAATTTGGAAATCTAACTCTGGGAACAAAATCTCATGTGTTTACTTTAAATATTAGTGAAGATATTTGTTGTTTGATTATAATAACTTTACTTTAGCCCTGGTCAATACTTCTCTCACTGACTGATCCCTAAATATTAATAGTCATTGTGACAGAAATTGAAATCTCTTAAAGCTTAGCAAGCAATAGGCAGAAAAATGCTTGTATGCAAGATATAATTCTTTCTTAGGGAAAAATGAATATCTTATAACTATGTGGTGTCTTCATCTATCTGGAGACAACGAAAAAGACCACCCTTCTGATTTCAGAGGTATTTTTAATCTAAAAAGATGTAGCTTAAGCCATTTAAAATTTGCTTTCTAAAATTGATACTTCATGGAATTTTTATTTAGGTCATCTTCTTCTCTAATGGGATTTAGTATAATTTGTAAAACTGAAACCTCTCACTTTTTCTTTTTTTAAGGACACAGAGGACATATGCAATCTCAGTCTAATTTAATATATATATTTATATATGTCTTTTAAAGCTTTCATTGTAACAAACCAATATAACGAGCTTACTATTTTGCTGAAATAAATTGAAATCAGTAAGCATTATAAGTAGTTGTGAAACAAGTAAAACAGTTCTAAGTTATGTGTATCTCAGGTTGCAGTCAATATATAAAAACTTTTTAAATAAATGCTGAGTCTTTTGGATCTTCAGTTCTGATCTAACATGTACGTCCTACAACAAAACTTTCTGGATTTGAACTTCAACCTTGAGCTGAGTTTTGAATACTTCCTAAACAGAGCTGTAGGCTCCTCACACTCTAGTATCTGGGCTGAAAACCGTCAAAGAGATTTTTAAGTGAATCTACACAAAAACAGTAGGCCAATTTAACATGATATAAAGCAGTGAGTGGAAGGTCTCTTTGAAGTAATTTTATTTCCAGCCTTCTTGGGACTTGTCTCTGGATTTCAGTAAATACTATGACAGGCTCTATTTACAGTTAGTTGTTCATCACCATTGATAGCTATACTTTGATTTAGTTTAATTCATAAATTAGCATAATTCTGGCCAAACAACAGAATAAGTGACGAATAAAGTAAGCACAGGATTAATGTGACTACATGCGTGCAATCCTTAGTTCACATGGCTTCAGTAACATTCATATATTGCATTACCATGAAAGATTATTATTATGGACTTAGAAAATTTAATATTTAGTGGCACTGTGAATACGTGAGGGAAGTGAGGGTGGGAGGAGGCCACATTTTTTCTAATGAGCTACAGAGAAAGTTTATATCAAATTTAGACTTAAACATATAAGAGATAATGATGAAAGGAATTTCTGTTTGAGTGCAGTATCATGTAACCAATTTTAAAATTTTCTTTTCCAATATAAATGTCCTACTCTGACAATCAGAGCAGATTGAGGAATAGCTACAGTCTCATTACTTTTGTTTTAGAGATTAATACAAATATGAAAGACGTGTTTTTTTCAGCAAGTGTAATAGATAATTTAGCTGTCTAACGCTGGACTACTTTTCCTAAAAATATTGGAGAGAAAATTTTTTGTTTATTTTTTCTTTCAGATGTTAAATATTTAAAAGAAGAAGATGCAAATCGTAAAACATTCACAGTCAGCAGCACGCTGGATTTCTTAGCAGATCGCAGTGATGATGGTGCAGTTGTAAGTTGCAGAGTAGATCATGAGTCCCTAAACTCTACACCTCAGATAGCAATGCAGGTTCTAGAAATACACTGTAAGTAATGCACATTATATATGCTTGCTTTTATAGTTTTGTTTTGTTTCAGAGTTTCTGTTGTAGGAAAATTATTAAAATCTCTGGTTTTGTGCGGATAGATAACATCTTTCTTTTAGCCATCTAAACATCTTTTCTGGTTTGTATTTGCTTGGTTGATTGGGGTTTTTTTGTTTGTTTTTTTTACAAGAGTAACTCTGAAAAGCTTAAAGAGGGCTTTACCAGTGAAAATACTATGAGACCGAGTTCCTGGTTTGCTTTGAGAAATGGTAGAGAGGAAGTGCATTTGTCTTTTTTATCATTGTAGCAATGTGAAAGAGTTCTTAAAAATCAATATCATAGTAGTTCACAATTTTCCTTGAAAGTACCTAGAAACTTGAAGCAAGGGTATGATTCACAGCAGACTGCCCCAATAACTTTGAATCCTACTAATGAAATTCTTTGTAATGCTCTTAATAACACAAGTCCAGGAGGAAAAGCCCTTTAGAATGTATTTTTATGCCTTGTGTGTACAGGATGCTACTCTAGATAATCCAAACTTCAGTTGTTTTGAATCTCTGTATATTGGCTAATTTTTTCAAATAGGATTTTTAGAAACCTGATGTTTTCCACAGTGCATTGTTTCAAAGTTAAATGAACCTGCCTGTGTATCTGTGTGCCCTACTCTGAAGTCATGTTGTCCTTTAAGCCAGTGGTTTTTTTCACTTACAAACTGTGAGACACTCAGGAGAAAACCTTTTCACCATCAGATGACATTTTCATATTCACTTGCATTATACCCACAATTCCTCAGGGTACAGCTATTCGTACTTCTGCAGAACACCCATACTTTTGATTGCCAGCTAGCAAAAACAGGCATCTGCAAAATATTGTCAACCAGGTGAAGGGGAGAGACCTTTCATGAATCTGTTTCTAGGGTAGGTGTAATCAACCTGTTACAAAGCTGACAAGCTTGTCCATATAGCAGAGAATCTACCAGTAGCTGCAACTAGTTCCCGAGATACCATGTCAAGGACTGTTGGCATATATAAGTCATTTCTAAACAGGAATGTTTCTATAAGCATCTAAGACTCATAGCACACGTAAAATGCGGTAATGCAAAAGCACTCCATGCATAGAAGCTGACAGCATTGCTAAAAATGCCATCTGCAAAAATGACTGAAAATTAGGAGGATGTGGATTAGCATCCACAAGTAATATGTACTGAAAATAACTGTTTTCTGAAACATTCTACCCTTCTTTTTACTGAGGGTGATCAAAGCCTTTCTTCACCAAATGGCTGTTAAACACCTGCCTCCCCTAACACGTTCAAATGGCATCTGTGCTAGAGACGTGAATGCTTGAGTTCCAAATCCAACAGCCGTCAGCCGCTGAGCTGGCCCATGCCTTCACTTCCAAATTGCTTGCTCTTCCTTCAGTGCTTCAAGATGTTGGCACTACAGGACAGGAACCTGATTGAATGGAACAGTAGATGCAGAAATAGGACAGCTTTAGGAGGTTTAAACGGAGTCACAGCGGCTGCAATGTAGTGTGGTTCAAGGTAAAGGCTGGGTTTCCTCGTTTGCGTGAGCATCATAAGATCATAAGGCAAAGAAAAGCCGTTCTGTGGCCTCACATATATAAAGCTTCTTGAACGTTTGTTGTTTGCTTCCAGTTTACACCCTAGGTAGCAAGACATCACCTTGCTAAACAGCAGTGAGGTGCATTTGCCTCTATGGCTGCTGCTTCATGTTTTGAACAAGACCCTGCTCTCTCCTCTGTGGGTTCACCGAAGTTCTCTAACAGGGACAAACTGCAGCGGGCGTTTAAAATTACTAATGTGCTTGATGTTACTGCCCCCTCAGACTGCCAACTTATCAAAAGCCACAATGCACAAGTAATTATTCTCTA